CCCCAAAACCCCAAAACCCCAAAACCCCTCAATAACTATTTGTGTGTATATAGAGTTTTTTGATTATTAGTATGAAATTGATAATACTATCAAATTTAAATTGGATTTATCTTATTTTCGATGATTGTTTTTACTCTATCTCTGTCGATCGAGAGGTGTCTTCTTATTATAGTTTCCTATTCAAAGAATGAATTTTTCTCCACTGATTTAGCTCTGGAAACAATTGGTTCTAAAGCACTCATTCTTCTATTATCCTCCAACTCTTAAGTCTGCTATCGCTTTAGAAATAATTTTCTTTACTTTACGATTCTCTCTTCCTCCTCAAGTTCCTTTTCCTTCTGATTCTTGCCAAACTTTTATAGTCTTACAGTCAAGTTCTTAGGAGCAGTTACTATTTACTCGAATTAGTTAGCAACTAATTTTAGTTATTTAGTGAGTTCCTAGGTGCTGGGACTCTCCCTAAATTTAATGGTCTTAATAAAAGCGTGTTGAAACTGTGAGGCCAAATGATAAGCAGCCTCGATCTCAATGTTATTATCTCCAATAGCAACTAGATTAGTAATTGCATCATTGTCCATTGCTTGCTGAGCCTCTAAAAATGCTCTGATCTTCCATTCCTGATAGTTATGAGGGAAAAGCTTCTCGAATTTCGACCTTGCACTGATTATTTTAACACCTTCTCTTAATAACTTATGAACTTTTGGTAAAAAGCGTTCAGAACTCATTTCAACCCAGCCATCAGCAGCATTTGTAATAATGAATACCATTCCAAGTTGCTTTGCCATGATCAGTAGATTTTCGGCAGCATCATCAAGTGAATCTAAAATTTCCTGCATTGACTAAGGGATCTTTCTCATTGGATCTTGCAGTAGAGATGGATAAGGAATCAAATATGTAGTGCACAAAATTGTATCATCCCAGTCAAAAATAATGCAAGTTTAATGAGTTTTAGGCTTTTACTGGGGACTGATCCAGACATTTTAATATACAAGTTTTGACATGAAATTTGTCCTTATTTTTTCGCTTGACTTAATAAGAATTTTGCCCTTATCTGAATGCTTGTTTTTGACAATGAATGACAACATGTAATTTTAATCCTAGTCTGTCACAGTAAATCTCTTAGTTTCACTACTTTAATCATCCTCATCGTATTCGGTAACTTACTTTTAATCTTAAAGTATTTTCTCAGGACTATCGTCAAAACACTTCCTTATTTATAGTTCTTTGTAGGTAAGCTACGTTGATTCTGTATCTGTAATTTAGTTGTCACTCTTGTTTCGCTTCAGATTAAATGGGGAGTTAATGTCACTTTTTAGTCTATTTCTTAGTTGATTACTTCCTATTCCATCAACTTACGAGGATAAATTACTCATAGAGTTCGCAAAAGGATTTATGAGTTCAGATTTTGAATTATCTAAATGCACAGCAGCTCCATCAAATACTTTATCCATATAATCATTTGATTCCTCCATTTCATTATTCACTGAGTCCTCTATCCTTGAGTTATCATACTTAGCCTCTTCAACAGCTCACGACTTGAGAAAATTGTGATCATTTGTATTTACTGACAAGCTGGACATTATTAATTTTGATGTGGTTGAGTTATTCTATATGAGAATAGTATTTTTTCTTCGCAATGAATATTCTTGATGCATTGAGTTTTTAGTCGATAGAGGGCTCTTTATCAGTGCATCTATTCCTAGTTTCCCGAAGTAGTCTTACTTTTTAAGAAATCTTGTAAGCTCCTCATCATTAGCATAGTCTTAGCCCTGGTTTTAGTCGGAGTACGGTGTGGATTTGCGAGATAGATGATTTTTCAATTCTATATTCTTCAATTAACTTCATCAGAGTATAATTCTTACATTCATTGAGATTTTTCTTTGATTTTTTGGTTTTTGTACCTATTGAGGAACAAATGAACCCAGAGCCACTTATTTCATTGGCTGAATTCTAGTTTCCCATTAATGTTTTTAATATAATCTAAAATTAAAGAAAAGCATTCAATCCCTTAGTTTATTCATTATTACAAAAAATAAGTTATTATTGAAGAGTGGGGTTTTGGGGTTTTGGGGTTTTGGGGTTTTGGGG